CGGCACGAATCCCACTGTCAGCAATTCAATTACGAAATTCCGATTAAATAGCATGTGAAGACAAATATTTGTTAGGTACGACATACATACTCGTATTAACATACACATATACATGTATATTTACATTAGAAAAGTGTCGATAAGGACATATTTCTATGAACACTTCATATGGGAAAATTTGCAATCAACCTTTTCAGCGTTAATTATTCTATATAATTCTATTTCCGGATAATTTTATATTTTGCATCATTAGTGTCAAACGAAAGATTTCTAAGCATGTGTGAAAGCTATATTCATCATTCATAGAGGGACAATGTATTAGTATTATATTACATTTTAACCCCATTCCTTGCCAGCTCTACAGAAATATTCGTTATTTTTTCTAAAGTACGGAAATTGTTAGTGCAGCGCTGAGTCGATACTTCCTCAATCAATCGTATTTGAGGAGTCTATCAGAATTTCGGAGAAACCCTAATCAGGTTCATATATGCAGATGACGAGTTTCAAACAATGATTTTAAATTTACACTATTTAAAAATAGAGCAACACCTTAAAATAGTAGTGCCCCGGCTGGGATGGCCTACAGTACCTACAGTGCAGTGAATTTTAGTTTATTTTTCGATTTTCGTCAACAGTTAAATGATGCGTTTAATGAAAGTAGGGTCCTCAGCAATGTTGTCAAGCACCACATTTGTGACCTCTACTCGAAGTCGTTTTTGAACTAGATCTTTTAGTCTAGCAATGACATGCTTCGTACCCAAAACTTTAACAATAATGGTTCAGTCAATCCATAAAAAATATTGAGATCCTCTACTATGTATCCGATGCCAACATGATGATTTTCTAGCTTAGTTTAGCTTTTTCGATGTTCATCATTAGGAGAGTTGGATGGACAACTCGCAGAAGGCAAGTTTTTGATGACTTCACGACCTCTACTGAATGATGAAATGATTCATATGAACATAAAAAGGGTTGCCCCAATCGCGGGAAAAAAATTATAAATGGACCAGTCCGAGTCAGCTTTGATAAGATTGTATTTTAAAGCTAAAACATTCTTTAACTAAATTGCGCTTTAGAAAAGAAAACAAAAGCTTTAAGACATTTCCTGCAAATATCCGTTTTATCTTTCGTCATATTATTCTCTTTAGCTTTAAGTGCGTACATACAAATATGCTTATATATAATATATGTATATCACTTAACCACTAAATACATCCTTTTTGAGAAAATACATTTCAACACGCACATACGCTAACATTTTGGCAAGCAAGCAAAAGTAAGCCGCAAAATCCTTTGGCACATCTTCACTTCAGGATTTACGCATATTTTGCCATGCTTAACCCAACTTTTGCTTTTTGCACTTTTCATTTCAGCAACATATCGTCATATATACATACATAGATATATGAATTCTCGCTCCCATCATTCCCTTTTTACACTCGTTTGGTATTTTTAATTTAAAATCAGCTTTGCTTGAGTATTCGAAAGGATTTTCTCCGATTGACTTGGCTTGACTCTGACTTTGACTTTGACGTTTGCTGGCGGCCGAGTGGCTGCGCAGAGGCATACAAACGAGCCAGCCTACTAATAGCAACAACACGTTATGCATAAATTTGTGGCAGCGGCTGTATGTGTGTGTCTGTAGGCATATTTATTGCCTCTTTTGTGGCCTACGTGCAGGCATTTGTGGTTTAGGCGCTTTTGATTACGCCTAGTTTTACAGGTTAGACGGAAGGAAAAAAGCGCTTGATATCAAAAATGTAGAAAGGAAATAAGAAAGAATGTCGAATGCAAACAGGAAATAATTTCAATGAGTTTTAAATTTGACTTTTATTGGATTGAATTAAGGCTGACAGCTTTTATAAGAAAAAAGTAGGTAGTAAAGGTGAGCAAGGCAGGCTTTGTCTCTGTAAAGAGACAATTTGATAGATATTGATAGATTATTGACATGTTCTTGGTCTACATAACTATAATGCAACTAGATTTTTATCCTGCAAAGTACTGTCAAAATTATTTAGAGAATATTTTATATAATATTAGAGCAACAACGTAAGAGAACACTCTAGGTCTAGTTTATGCAAAAATTAAAAATGATTAGAGTTGCCATCCGTATAAATAAATGTATTATCCAACTTAAAATTAAAGGTCTTATCTTTGTAATAAAAAAAATTTAAAAATACAAATTTTTTAGAGTTGCCACCAAAACCTAAAAATAAACTTGTTGCCTAACTTAACTTTTTAGAGTTGCCACCAAAAGTTAAAAGTAAAAGTGTTATCTAACTTAATTTAAAATGTCTGGCCATTAAAAAATAAAAGAAATTCAAAAAATAAAAAATTTTAGCGTTGCCACCAAAACCAAAAAATGGAAGTGCTACCTAACCTAAAATTAAAAGGTCTGCCTTTAGTAAAAAACAAAAATTCAAAAATTAAATTTTTTAGAGTTGCCACAAAACCTAAAAATAAAGGTATTACTTAGACTTTCTGTGAACAGAAATGTTTGATAAATTAAGATTTGCTGTCGGTTAAATAATTCGAATATCAAATGAATGTAAGGTTGTTAAGAACTCTGTAAATTTGATTAGCATGGCAACTCTATTTTCTAATTAAAAAATCAACAAAATCCGTTTACAAAAAAACTGTGTTGTCATATCCATTTAAAACAAATAAAACAGGGCTTACTTCTAGTGCAATAAGATACCAAGAAACCATTATATACGGGGATCAGGGTAGCATACGGACCTTAAGATAACATGTTCACCTAATGCAAAATGTATCATATATAATATTAATTATATATATATATGGGGGCTAAACCAAGGTCTGGATCGATCTCATTTATGTTTGGTGCTACATTGCGGTCAAGGAAATATAGCTCCTTACCTAAAATCTCGTACATATTACCATAAGCACTTCGGTGTTCATATACTCAGTCGGCGGCTTAAAAAGCTATAGCTTGATTTTGATAACTTTTATAAGAAAGTTTGAAAGGATTATTTTTCAAAGTTTCATTACGATAATTTTAATAATGTTTGCTTTATCTATTTTAAAATTGAGGAATCTGATGGAAATAAATAATATAAATAATTATTACATAAAAAGTAGGTGCGGTTGTAGTTAAATTTTGCACATTTTAAAATTGTCATATAATAAGATAGAAGATGCCAAAGATTACTACGAGCCAAATTTAGTTGCAAGCGGTCGAGTAGTTGCTGAGATTGGAATCTAAGGTGGTGGTAAATTTTTCAAAGCTTCATTATTTATATTCGTAGATCGACCACCTCACTTTTCGAAATCTTTTTTTTTTTTACTACATTTAAGTTACTTAATTCATGACTTAGTTGTAGAATTTTATAACATGTATTTTTGGATTAACAATATTTAGTGGAATTGAGTACAAATATTGCCTACCTTTAGGGAGTTGTTCAATACTACAATTTGTGAAATACAATATATGATAGAAACACAAACAAATGGTATTTGTAATTACAATTATTTTCTAAATTTACAAAATTCGTGTTGGAATTCTAAACGTCTCATAAAAGTAATGTCTGTGTGGAAAAGCAACAGTGCAAGCGTACATATAATAGCACCTGAAGGTATGCTTCACCACTAGTTGCAAGCATTTATGCTTTACTCAATACAAATACGTAGGCTTTTCTACTTTAACTACATTTGAAAATGGCGTGCGAAATGACTGTAAGCATTAATTTTCGTATTAAATTCCAATTTAATTACCTTAATGGAATCCTGTCATTTAAGTGCCATTCAAATAGACAAAACTTTTAAGTGAACTTAGTGATAATTCATGCAAGTTTGTGTATTAGTGTGGGTAAACAATTCGAATATTTTCTTTTTTGTTTGGTACTCTGAAAAATAGGTCTCTACGAAATTCTCTTCGTATGAGCGCTTAATTGTAAAGAGAAGGTCTTTCGCTAGAAAGTCATATCTCGCTTCCAACTATCAAAAAATATATATTTCGTATTAAAGATTTTGTAGCAAATTGAATGCTCTACAAAATGGTCTCATACATTTTTTGCGTGAACCTAACCGTTTAAAAGATATTAACGGTTGAAGTATGATTATTTTATAATTTTTTTTTTTTAATAAATTTAAATGAATTTTTCAATGAAAAAATATGATCGTAAATTGCAAAACTCATAATTTTTTACGAAATTTACGCCGAAATAGAAATATTCGTTTTAGTTTTTGACCCACCCTAATGTATACGTATTTCGAAAAAACATTTACAACGAAATTATGTGTGTAATAATGTGTGAACGGAAACTTTTCTATGCGATGATAATACAGGTCATACAATTTGTAGAAAATTAGTCAAAAATGTTGAAAACAAAAATTAATTAATTATCATTATTAATTTGGAAGTAGGATAAGAAAGTATGTGACATTTCAATAAGAAAGAGAGCTTGGCTGACTATTTCTTGGGCAATATGTTGAAATAGCTTAAGTCAACTTAAGCGTAAGTAAGTATTTTGGTTTTAATTAAAAATCTTCTTATCTTTTTCACCACTACTATATAATTATAAATTTAGATCTTCGATGCTTAGGAATTTTGTAGATAAAATACAACTTTGAATCTCGTATAAGTTGTGTAGAATAACATATTATATTTCGCTTGCACTAAGCTCGACTTATGCCATTTCCACATATTGGCAAATATTCAGCAACAATCAATTGTGAAAATTTTATTGTAAATAGAAATCGAAAATGATTTTGATGCACTAATAAAGTTGTTGCAGTATCTATCTATTAAATCAGTATACTATCAGTATATATTAAAATTATTATGTGAAAACAAAAACTTTTTAACATTTAAAAGTTTTCATCGTTTCATTTTCTGTGGCATGCGTCAAGAAATAAAATGAAATTTATTTGATTACTGCAGCTTTTTTACCTTGCAATTCTTTTTCCTCACTTGTAACACTATATTCTAAAACTAACGGTTTAATTACTTATTAACAAACAATTTCGAAATCTCTTTTACTTACAGTTACATATGAATGTATGAATTACTGTCTCAAATATTGAGCTGGGCATGTATTTTGCAATTGCGAATTTGAAGGTAAGCAGAAAGTGATTGATTTCATTTACTTTATGTATTTCAACATAAACAATTGGTTAGATTGAAGTATTAAAGAAACAAGAAAATTTCTGATATTGATATTTAAAACAAAATCAACTTGATTGAAATAAAAAATGCCAATATGAACACTTAAATTTATTCTTTTATTTTTATTTCCGTTTTTCTTTATATTTTGCCGACAAACAACAAACTCTACGCTTGCTTTACCGAAGTGCTCACTGATCATAACATGGCGAAATATTTATGACACAAATTAGAATATTCGAACTAAATATACAAGCATTAGGTGACGCTAAAGTCGTTGTTGGTAGCATGTGTCAAAGCAACACTAATTACCTAAACTAAAATATTGCACCAGAGATATGACTGACACAAAGATCTGTTGTCAAAATAGCTCTCAAGACCGGTTTATTGCATGTCCATATAATATATTGTTCTGGATGTATTTGAATTGCAGAGTTGTATAATATAATGCTGCGTTTTCAATATCTCAAATTTAATGGCACTAAACTGTCATACGCAAAACTTCAATGACATGTGTTGCCATATATCACACCAACTTGATTGACAAGTAAAAACAAGCAAATTTTCGACTGCGTTGCAAATTTCGGCTGAAAAATGTCATAAATTACTTAATAAATGAGACGGCAGCTATTTTTGTTGATTTCACGACTACTGTCATTAAATTTGACATCACCAAAACACAAGCATAATATAAAAAAATGCTCTAATAGGAAAATATCTTAATTTAATATAGGAATTTTAAGTGATTTGAGGTTAATGCAAAAAAAAGTTCAATATGACAGCATTTTGACATAATACTGACATAAAGATAGACGAGTTTCATATGGAAAGAAGAGTTTCTTCATCAAAAAAAGAGGGCAGGAAGTGTTTTAGAGTTATAAACTTTTTACAGTGCAGGTCAAACCAACACAAAGGACAAATTTCTGTTCAAGTGAGATTCATCCATTTTGCATCAACCACTCGATCTAGTTGTCAAACCAGTTGTCAAATTCAAACATGTGCTTAAAATTTATGGCAAGTATTGTGGCAACATTCTGGTAACCAAATCAAATCAAATACTGGTCTTGCCAATTGATTACCCAGTTCATGAAATTTCGGTGCATTTGACAACATTTTATACTTACAACTAGACTAGCACTTACAACAAAATTCAGTAATTAACTTAACCTATTGAACTTTCATATTTTGATATTCTAAATATTATGTATATATTTTCATAAATATATATAATAAATATTCGCCAAAATATATCAAACACACACAATTTACAACGTTTTTTTTCGATTTTCCCGCTAATAGCATTTAAATCACTTGCCACTTCGCAATACGGCATGGAATAATAAAATTAGTAAAATCAACCGAAAACCAAATGTTGTAAATCAATGAAGAAATAATTGAACAGCCGCAAAACCACAGATAAATACTTTTAGGAGCATGGATTATTTTATAAAATATTATTCAAATATGGATATTTGCGAATTTGCGATTTTAGCAAATTTTTGTCGCACTCTGTGTGCTCTAATCAAATATTAATTTTGTGAAATTCGCCGCTGAATGGTTGAATAATATTCAGCATCAAATTTGTGTGGCTCAATCGTGTAATAATTGTGAATACATGTTTCTGATACGCATGACCAACTGTTTGTTTGCAAAATAGAATTATATAAAAATTGCATCATTACTATTCCGTTAAGTAAATAGCACCGAAAGCAGTTGATTGCATTTCAATTCTGCATTTGGTTGAATGCGAACGCCAGCAGCTGTCACGCTAGTGCCTAAATATCTTTTTCTTTATATATTTTTTTTAGTTCAATAAAAACACACCCCAAATATAAACACAAAATTAAAATAAGTGAACAATGCGTTTAAATAAAAAACGAAGTGGAAAAGTGATAGCATATGTACGTAAAGAAGACAATAAATGCTCACACTATTTTCGCTACGAGAGTAAAAAAGGACAGAAGAGAAACATCAACTGATTACAATGTGAAATTGGCACCTAAAATTTTTGCAAACTACCAATGTAGTATCTCAGCGATTATCTAGCGATTCGGTCATAAAAAAAGCCAAGAAAGGTGGGAATCAAACATATCCCGATTAGGTTCGCATCGACTGTAGACCGTTCAATTAGTTCTGACAACTGCCTAAAAAGAACTTTTATTCCATTTTCCACAATTTCTGTATGATCAAAATATAGAACTTAACTTTGAAAGGGATTTTGTATGTTTACGACACAAGCTCAATAACAAATATTCAGGAAAATGAGCAGTTTAACTTGGAAATTGTTTGAAAATTAAGAAAATAGTAGAACAAACAATTTTTGTTTTATCACATTTCATTTCTTAGCTAAGCTCTAAGCTATTCTCATTTTAATGAAAACAGTTCTCATGATCGCTGGGTTAAATAGTTAAATTGTTTAATTTAAATACTTATTTAGCAATATATTTTAAATTTAATTATTAATTGAGCAATTAGTTAATTGTTTGGAAAAATTGAAGGGAAGGGAATTATATTCAAACACAAATGACATAATTACTTGCAGGTTTCTTCATAAACTTCTAGTTAATTAAACACTAATTAAATAATTAGTTGATTTTGTCACAATTTTGCTGGAATTCGCTAAGATTTACTCATTTTATTAACGCTATCTATCAGAGCTTTGGTGTTTGAAGCTTCTGGAATAAGTTAAAGAAATTACACATTTACTTTGAACTCACATTTATAGGCACAGTTATACCAAAATAATACCTTATTACCTTTTATTTATATGCTCACACTAATTAACTCGCCCTATAATACTAATTTCGCTTAGTATGAGTTGATTGCATGTTCATTTATTGATACAAATGAGCTTAATTAAATTGTTGGTATAAAGAATTAGTATTGTGGTGAGATATACTCGTATGTAGATACAGTCGTGGAGAAAAAATTTATATTTATCATCATCTTATTTAATGAAGAGTGAATTTACTTATTTTTATCGATCCTATATTATGAAATTTGATGGACCTTTCATTTGTTCAATAATATCTAAACACTAATTATTTCTTGTCTCACATTGCGATTGGACAATGGGAGTGTAAAATGCTTTATAAAACTTTATTTGAATCGGCGGTGATTTTATTTTTAATCAGTTTCACTCTTTTTGGGTGGCATTGTTATTACTAATGGAGACTTAAGTGCCCTTTTGACAATATGTGCCCTTAACAAACGTCCAGAAGGACCTCCAAAAAAAAAACCTATTAGGCATAGAGAAAGCTTTTTCTGCTTAAACTTATCTCAACTCCAAAACCCAAAAAAAAATTAATATTACTTTAGCTGAATACCGGCAATGAACAAAGAACTTGTCTAAATGTTGACATTTGACAAAACGGCGACTTCCCAAAAAAAGTCGTTTTTTGTGAAAAATTTACCATTTAGAGTGGCTTTAAATCGAAATTATTATCAAAAATCTGATATTCTCGATTATTACCACACAAATATATCTAATATGGTTTTGTGAAAACTTTGCTCACCGAATCTTAAAACCGCTTTCGAAAAAAACGCAACGAAAATGAAACACAATTTACAAATGTGCTAGTATCTACGGAGACACTTGCTGGAGCAACCTCAAATTTTCGGAAAATATTTTAAAATATATGTACATTCGACATATACTGCATAAAAATTTAATTTTTAATTTACAAGTGGTTATAACCCTATAAGTAACTCTTAACTCTGTCTATCTCTCCCTCTCTTTCGCTATCGCTCTGTCTCTCTTTCACTCTCTCAGGCTATGGCTCTGTCTATCTCACTTTCTCGTAATATAGTTAACATGCTTCATAAAAATTGATCAAAAAACGTAGCATATGCATTTCTCTTGAATATTTCATAGTTGTTTCGGCATTTCCATAGAAACCAAAAAAGGTTTATTTTATTTATGTGACTCAGAGCTTTCATTACAGTCTACATGTTAATAAAATAACCTTACACGATTTTTTTTTAAGTAATTGTTCTTACAAATTTCTTTTTCGCGCTTCATCCTTTACATTCCATATCCAGTTCAAGTGTGCTCTTTCACATAAAACCAATCTAGTAAACAGCGAAGTGTCCGGTCTGCTGCTACCTAAGAGTTCTTCGTTGTCAATTAAGGATTTTCTAAGTCATCAGTAGCATTCGTCTCCCCCTTTCTTTTTAGAGTCCAGCTTCCAGCTTCCAGCTATAGCACATCCCTTCTATTATAGGGTTAAAGTGGAAACTTGAACGATACTCACATAGATAGCGAGTATTGATATCGGAGGCCGGTTCAAACTACTTCTAATGCTAACACTTAATAGCTGTATTCGATTCGCCCAGCGCTGGAGAGTAGAGAATAGAACAAACTATACCAGATATTCAAACAAACTTGTGTAACGTGTCTTCAGACGTTTTAGTCATCTCTTTTTGAGAGAGATAGTGAATAGAGGAATGAATCGAAGACAACTAATATATCGTAAATCGGTTTTTACAATATGATCGCTCAAAACAAACAATTTGTATATATTATATTTAGTATTGTGTCAATTTTCTTTGCCACTAGTGTAAATGGGGTAGTAGTGCTAGGCATATGTAAACAGTTAGCGGGCATATGTTTGCATTCTCACCATAATTTAATAATTATAGCATATCCTTTTGCGCATTTAAATGTTTCCCCTCTCAACCAAACGCATAGATATGCCATCAAAATCGCTCTGTCTAGCTGCGGTTATAGCACACTTCCTGCCTGTCTTAACCAATAAGCAAACCGCAATGAAAATTAATATGAAATTATAATGAATGGAAATATGAATGCGACTTAGGCAATTGTTTAAATGCCACATTATCCGCCAAAAGACCTGCAGGTCCACTTTGCCAGTGCGCACATATACATATATACAGATATGTGGACTATCCAAACTATCTACAAGTATATTTATGTGTGTGTGTAAAGTGATTAA